TTTCCCTACAAATGCTCAATTTGACACAATGTACTCGTACAAGGATTTGAGCAAACGCAGAGAATGGGTTGCCCATCTGCAGGCTGGAGCAGGAATCGTGGCTGACAGTGATCCAGCTGATGAGCAAAGAGAGTGCGAGAACAAAGCTGCTGCCCTTGCCCGTGCCATTGATCTTGCAGAATCTTCATTTGTTGATAAATGATTTGGGTTTGTCCATCATCAGTGATGCACCTTGATAACGACGAGGAAATTTGACGGAGGGGCTGAGATTATACGGTTTTCATCGTATTAAAGTTACGTGGAGAATCCTGGAAACTATCTCAATGATGTTCTGACAAAAGTCATGAACATATATTTAAAATGAGATGAGTTATTTTCACGATATATTTTTTTATTTGTTGTCGTTTTAAGAGACTTCCATATCTTAATCACATTTCTTTCTGTCAGTCCATCTTAAACCAAAGAAAAGTGTCTTGACGGAGTTTCTTTTGTTGTGATTAAATTCCTCCTTATTGAACATGAAGTTAGTTACAAATATACTTGTTAATATTCAACAACACACTCGCATTGCAGGTAGCCCTGTTCTCGAATGTGATTCATGTTCTCGGATGACCATTATTCGAAATACGCATGATAACTTGCAAAAAAAGATATTCGAGATAGGCATGATAATTTCACTCAAACTGTATTTCTTTTCCTTTTATTACCAAGAAGTATTCTCCATCTGACACAAAGACAATCTTCCTTTGGAGTTTGATAAACATTAAATAGGTAAATATTTTTTCTCAACTTGAATTTTTTGCATTTGTAAGAGTAAAGATTTGAACTTTAGTCACTTGATTAAGTGACATTAGTCCTTTGTTATCCGTACTAATCTAAGTTCATCTCAAATTGTATGGCTATTTGCTAAAAGAAATACACAAAACATCAGTCCAATATAGGTGGAGTTGGGGCTAAATATTTATATGCAAAATTTAAGTTAACTGGAGTTGAATGTTGTTGTGAATATAGATTATTAATATAATAATATCTAATCCGTTATATTTTTATACTGAAATGATAAGTTATTATAATTATTATAACTAGTATTTAATATCCTAATTTATGTTAAAAATAAAGATAATATTTAGTTCAAGAGAAAATTAGTTTAATTATATGTTATTGGTGTAAAATATTTACATATTAGAATACGTTATAGCAATTATTATTACAAGGTTATTGAAGATGGTAAAGTAGTCTGGATAGTTCTCTTTAGGGAGGATGGAGGGTTTAATACAAATGAGGGACTCTTCAAAGCAGATTCTATAATTTTTTCAGACAATTCAGTTAGATCAAATCCTGAGGAAAGTTAGTTTTAATCGCCTCCAGATATATTCCTTTTAGGTGGTGTGATCAGAGTGGGTGCGTAATTGGGTGGTGTGCATCACGGATATAAAAGCATCTTTTGTTGTCTTTCGGTATTTTTTTCATTATTATTTAAAAACATTTTGCACTCTATAGTAGGTATTGCCATTACTCTTCTTTAGATGGCAGATGCACACTGTGCCATAGAGACAAAATTGTTTCTTCTGTGTCTGAACCTAAAAGTAGCAATTTGGGAGGAATTACAATGCTGAAAGAAACGATTTAATGCATTTTCTAAAACATAAGAGGCTAATAGACAATATTAAACCGAAAGACGCTACAAATAATATGTAACAATATCTGGATTGAAGTTAGTTTTGCTTACCATAAAATCATCAGAACAAGTTGTAAATTTTCCAATTTCAGAGCTACACTTGTTAAAATAAATAATGTTAGAAGGTGACCAAGTTTATCATACGTGAATGGTATTTATTTATATTTATTTATTTATTTTATTTAAAATATTTAAAATTACTAAAAAAATCCTCTTTTTTTTTAGAAGTTCTTTGGATTTAACGACCATCACTTGTCCTTCTCTCCACAACACACTCATTGCATACCCACTCATCAAGGACTTCCAGTCATAGTTGCCACCACAAAAGTCGATGCAAACGAGGTGGATTTATGGAATCGGATTAGGGTTTCAAGGGTTTGATCTGGTTGGGTTTTCAACGAGAGAGGCGCAACTGTGGAGAGGGTGTGTGACGGTGTCGAAGGTGGAGTAGGAAGGGTGGTCTGCAAAAGTATGTGATGATGAGGGTTCCATAATCTGACGTAACTTTAGAGAACATTGGGCAAACATAGTATTCCGTTGTAGAAACCTTAGATGCGGTAATCGTGGTCATGGCGAAGCAATGGGGTTTGATTAGGGTTGAGGGGTTTCGGAAGAGTGATTAAATTGAGCAAGATGTGATTTTGCTGCGGTCGATTAGGGTGTAGACTAATTGCTGGTTGGCCATGGTTGGATCGATGATTGAGGTGCGAAAACTATATGAAAAGTGTCTTTTTATTTCTTAGTCCACCCATTCACATGCAGTGGTCTACCCTAGATTTCGCCTAGAAAGAAACATTAAATAAAGAGAACTAGAACCAACTAGATTTCCAATTTACCAAGTAACTGTTGTAACTTTGCCATCATGACTTTTCAAAATGGTAGGATATTCCTGAGACTTGTCAACCTGAATTTTTAAAGTTCAGTGAAATTCCATAACAAATGCAACCTAAGTATCCAACTTGCAATATCTCATTAAAAGTAAGAAATGTAACCTTCCAAACATAGGCATTTCCATCACTAGAACCACAGACAACATTGGATGCATCAAGGCTAATTGCAGCCTGAAATTGCACAAAATCAGATAAAAAGTCAAGAGTTAAGACACACAGACTGAATGAATTTTAGGGGATATAGGTGCAACTCTCACCTTGACAAAAATATTCAATCCAACCCCAGAAAAAGATTGTACAAGCCCTTTTTCAAGTTGAAGATTGTCACACAGATAAACTCTGTAAAAAGGAGAGAAATAATACATTTGAAATTTTGTTGTACATTCTTACTTCAGAAGAATAAAACATATACACTATCAAAGAATGATACCGGTTATCCATACAAGACACTAAAAGAAAAGGTCCACTGTCATCTTGGGACAAGCTAGATATTCCATGTAAGCTTTGCTGAAATGATAACAAAAAATAATACTGTTAAGACAAACATATTTTTTCAAGTTTTCCAATATGAAACAAAACCCTATGATATAAAAAACTTATGGTATCAACTCTCAGCCTATTCTAAAAGTTGAGATCATGAGCTCATTATATAACCTTTACTTAACACAAAAATTATAACTTAGTTTATTCAACAGAATTAGCAACTTCTTAAACATAAGAAGAAATATACTATCATTTTACATCACAGTTTACACTGACCTTTCGAGTTGATTGAGGACAAGGACATGTAAAAAAAATGGATAGGAAAGATATGAGTGACAGTACATTTCAAATTTTTAGTATTTCAAAATTTCAACACACCGAAATAAACCAGTTACTTAGTAAAATAGTAAAAATATGGAAAAAATAAAATAAAATAAACGTTTACTTTGAAAGGTATTGTTTCCAACTATTCAATCCACTGCTCCAGCAGTAGCTATGGAAACCTGGTCCTTAAAAGAAAAAGAACAAATGTAATGCTTATGGAAGCAACCTACAAAATAGGAATTGTTAGACAAATTTAATTTACCGGATGTGAAGGAAGACTAATCCATCAGAAATTAACCTTTTCCCTCCTAGTTCGTTTTGCCTGAGATGAAATATATATATTTTAGAGAATTTTCATCTCCATCTAAAATCATAGTTATTGAAATATATATATATATATATA